TCTTCAGTCTCCTTTTGCAGAGTACTGTAATTTTCTATGCATAGGTCCTTTATTTCCTTTGTTAGATTGATTCCTAAGTATTTCATTTTTTTCAATGTTATTGTAAAAGGTGTTATTTCCCTAATTTCTTTTTCAATGAGTTTGTTGTTTGTGTACAGGAGTGCTATTGATTTTTGAGTGTTGACTTTGTATCCAGCTACACTGCTGAATTTGGTTATTAAATCCAGAAGTTTTTTGGTGGTCTTTGGGGTTTTCTATGTAGAGAATCATGTCATCTGCAAATAATGATGATTTAATTTCTTCCTTTCCTATCTTTATTCCTTTTATTTCTTTTTCTTCTCTAGTTGCTCTGGCTAATATTTTATTAAATATTATTTAAGAACCTGATCTTTATCAACTGCTTAGTATGTTGCTTTAGAGTTATATAAGATTTTTCTAATCTATTTAGCATTTTGCAGTTTTGTCTGCCCTAACACTGCAAAGAATACTCATATATACAATAAAGATTCACTCACATCTCTCGTTATCTCCTTGGGCAAAAATAGCTTTTGCACCTATTGTCAAATTACCTCTCAGAATAGTTGCTTCTATGTTAGCCTCCTACCAGCAGTAACATGAATGTGTCCTTCTCCTGTGCCCACATCCACATTAGCCATCACAAATTGTAAAAAGCTTCATTAATCTGATGTATAAAAAGTATCCCATTTCAATCATTTGCATTTGTTTGATTACTAGTGATTGTTGAACACTTGTATAGTTCATTTATAAATTTCTTTTGTGCTGGGGATTTAGCTCAGTGGTTCCGGTGCCTGCCTTGCAAGCACAAGGACCTGAGTTCTATCCCCGGTACCAAAACAAAAATTCTTTTGTGACTTGCCTACACATACCATTTCCCTTTTTTTCATTAAGTTTTTTACTTTTTTATTTATAAGCTCTATTTATGTACCAGGATCTAGTATGTATGTATGTATTTTTGTGTTGCTCATGATGGAACCCAGGGCCTTGCACATGGCTGGACAAGTTCTCTATCACTGAGCTACACCCCCAGCTCCTGTAGTTAAATGTTGCAAAATTTTTCCCCTATTGTTTTTCACTTGCCTCATTTTATTTTATGATAGTTTTTCAAATGTAAGAGTTTTAAATTTTTATGTAGTCGAACCTCAATCTTTTCTTTCATGGTTTCTTTCTTTGCTTTTTATGGTCACACCCAAAGATATCTCTCAGACTCAAATCCGATCATACCTTTCCCTTGAAAAATCCTGGGGCTCTTGGGGAGATAATGCACCTCCTTATGGTGCTTCAGGCCTACTCTGCTGCCACCCTATAGGTGCTTGGGATTCTAGTCATGCCAAGCAACTTGTATTATTACTTTCTACTTGGCACCCTCTGCGTGTTCCCCCTCCATCAGGCCTACCCCCCATCTCTAGCCCCTCTTCTTGTGTGTTATTAAAGACTAGCTCAGATCTAGCTATGTCCTTTATCTTCAGCATCCCCTTTCCCCTTGTAAACCCCTGGTCCCCAGAAGGTCTCCCTAATGATTTATACAAGGAATAACTCAGATGGCAAGCAAAGACTAAAATGGCTTGCACAGGTTGAACATTCTTAATCCAAAAATTTGAAATATGAAATGCTCCCAAATATGAAACTTCTTAAGCATCAACATGGTGCCACACATGGAAAATTCCACACCTGAGCTCATGTGACAGGCCACAGGCCAAACACAGGTACAACAGAAATATGGCATAAAATTGCCTTGAGGCCACATATAGAAGGTATATAGGAAATGTTTTGTATTTAGACTTGGATTCCATACCCAAGATATCTCATTATATATATGCAAATATTCCAAAATCCTAAATAATCCAAAATCTGAAACACTTCTGGTTCTGGATAAAGGCTACTCAACCTGTAGGAAAATTGGCTTTCAGGGTTAGTTTAGGGTCAAGATTAGACTGATTGCAGGGGGCTGGAGATCAGCTCAGAGCAATCAAAAGATGCCAGGCAGCACAAGCAGAACACTCAGATGTCTGGGGACCAGAGCACTTGAAGAGCTGAGCAGCGGGCAAAGAGCAGGAGGCCTGGCAGACAGGAGCTCAGGGATGGGACTGGGTTTCCCATAAGACTTAAAGGGACAGCATCAGGGAGGGAGTCCGTTCTGAAAGCACCAGGCGAAAGTTATCTGAAACCCCAAACTGTAGAACAAAGACCCCCTGGCCTTCCCCCCATTCCCAGCAAATAGCATTGCCACTTTCTACTTTCATAGCCTGGAAACTAGAGTCACTTGGTTCCTTTTCCTTCTCCATGCCACATCCTATCTTTTGATGAGTCCTGTCAGCTCTACCCTTAAAATACAGCCAGACCATATATTGTAGGATTCCATTTTAATGATGTTCTGGAAAAGGCAAAATTGTAGGGACAGAAAACATCTATTCCTAGTAGCTGGGGTGAGGTGGCTACAAGGAGTTTTGAGGAAATTTGGGGGCTGACAAAACTCTCCTGATGTCTTGAGTATGATGGTGATCATACAATGTTATGCATTTTCCAAAACTCACAGAACTGTGCATGAAAAAGGGTGAGTTTATTATACCTCAAATACAAATATAGGAGGCTGGGGATTTAGCTCAGTGGTTCCACTGCCTGCCTCACAAGCACAAGGACATGAGTTCGATCCCCAGTACCCCCCACCAAAACAAAACAAAACAAATATAGGAGAAAATATACTGGAGTCCAGCCATTTCTCACCATGGTCACAGCCATCATAATTGGCGATGATGGCCAGGGGCCATCATAATCTTGGATTCTTATCACGATGGGATCTTCATTGGTCTTCCTGCTGCTGGCCTCACTTCGTTGTAGCCTATTCCTAGCAGAGCAGCCAGAGTGGTCCTCAGAAAACAAAAAGCAAGGCTGGGGGTGTAGTTCAGTGGCACAGGGCCTGCCTGGCAAGCATGAGGTCCTGACGTCAATCCCTTATACAAAAAAAAAAGAAAGGAGGAAGGAAGGAAGAGAAAGAAAAAGAAGAAGGAAAGGAAGGAAGGAAGGAAGGAAGGGGGAGGAAGGTCCTAGCAGAGCAGCCAGAGTGGTCCTCAGAAAACAAAAAGCAAGGCTGGGGGTGTAGTTCAGTGGCACAGGGCCTGCCTGGCAAGCATGAGGTCCTGACGTCAATCCCTTATACAAAAAAAAAAGAAAGGAGGAAGGAAGGGAGAGAAAGAAAAAGAAGAAGGAAAGGAAGGAAGGAAGGAAGGAAGGAAGGAAGGAAGGAAGGAAGGAAGGAAGGAAGGAAGGAAACAAAAAAGAAATTTTGTTACTCTTGTGCTCAGGACTCTCCAGAGGTTTCTCTCCTCCTCAGAGAAAGCCCTATGTGAAACAATTCCCTGTTATTTCTCTGGCCTAATCTCCCTCAATTTCCCCCATTCTTTCTTCCTCACTAATTCTTCCCTTCACTACCACGATGGCCTTCTTCCTCCCATTGACCATGCCTGAGTGGTTCTCCTCAGAGTGAAAATAGAGTTTCCATAATGGCTGCCGTGACCCTCAGTGGCACAGCCTTCTGCTGCTTCCCTGGTAATCTCCTAACTCCCTTCCTCATCCTACTCTCCATCCAACAGACACCACACCAACATCACAGCCTGCTTGTTCTTTCTGGCACTTTACGTGCTCCCCTCTTGTGCTCCTCTGCCTGGAATGTGCACCTCAGTAGTTGCCACTCATGGGGTTTGTATTCATTAGCTTTCCTGTTGCTAGGACAAACTACCCAACACCCATACTTAAAAAGAGGAGAGGTTTCTTCGGTTTCAGAAGTATCAATCCATGGTTGGCTGATTGGAAGGCAGGAATGCCGTGGCAAAAGGGCATAATGCAGCAAAGCTGCTTAATTGATGATGGCTGGGAAGCAGCACAGGGGGTGAGCACCCCAAAAGGCATGTGCCCAGTGATCACCTCCAACTGGGCCCCACCTCCTAACAGCACATTCAGCTACAAATGTCAGTTTATTAACCCACCAAAGAGTATGGCATCCTCATGATTCAGTCACCTCTCTAGGAGTCTCTTAATCCACTCAAGTTAACAATTAAGCTTAACCATTACAAGGTCCCTCTCTTGTCTCTTTCTGACCTTCGTTCACATATCATTTTTTCAGTGAGGCCTTCCATTAGCACCCCATTTGTAGCTGCAGCCCCTCTGACCCAACCTCATCTGGCTATCTTCTCTCATCTTACAGATCATAGCTCCATCTGACACACTGCATATTTTATTTTACGATTTCTCCTCAAATTCATGAAGACAAGTTTTTGTTTTATTTTACCCCTCCAGTACCTAGGACATTACCATTTGCCTGTCAAATAATAGCTAGTAAAATTGTGCATGTGGAAGAAAAGAAGGGAAGAAGGAAAGAATCCAAAGAACCAGTCTTATGTGTTGACATCTCAGTGCCCCAGAATTTCACACTCAGTTCCTTGGCACTCATAGACTTTGTGTTAGTCAGCTTTCCGTCACTGTGACAAAATATCTGATATGAATGACTTAAAAAGAGCAAAGGTATTTTGGCTCACACTTTCAGTCCATAGTCACTTGGCCCTGTTGCTTTGGGCCTGTGGTGAAACCCAGCATCCTGGTGGTGAGTTCGTGATGGAGCAAAGTTGCTCACATCCTGGTATCTAGGAAGTGAAAAGAGAAAGACAGAGGAAGGGGCAGGGACCTAATATCCCCTTCAAGGGTGTGCCCCTACAACCCAGTTTCCTTCCTCTAGGCCCAGCTAATAATGTTTCCATCACCTCCTATAGTGCCATCAGCTGGGGACCAAGCTTTTAACACATTAACTTTGGGGGGAACATTTAAGATCCAAACCATACTGGTCTTCAAAGTCATGGAATGTAGTAAAAGTCTATGTTTGTGGGTTCGGGTGTTTTGAGGTAGTGGCTTTCCTCCCTGCCTTTCCTTTTATTTCTTTGCCACCCAAGATTGCTATGTTAACACAGATTTTCTCTCAAATTTCTCTCTAGAAACAGATGTTCCAGGAGAGGAGTAGCCGGATGCTACAGGCCTTATCCCCGAAGCAGAGTCCTGTGAGCAGCCCAACCAGGAGCCGGTCCCCTTCCCGCTCCCCATCACCCACCTTCTCATGGCTGCCAAGCAAAACCTCACCCCCATCCTCGCCCAAAGCTGCCTCAGCCTCCATCAGCAGCATGAGTGAGGGGGATGAGGATGAGAAGTAAAGGTGGCTGTCAGGCAAGAGCCACACCACGCAGGATGGGGAGGGGGGGTTCTGGGGATGCCTGGGTGGTGTCTGAAGGGGAAGAGTCACAGGAGTTGCTGCTCAGCGGGGAGACCCTGAGCTCTGCTAAGGGAAGGTCTTAGGACCAGTTCTCCCCTCATTCTCCACACAGCCCAGCATGGACTGAGCATGGAGGTTTCCAAATGGACAAACTATACAATCTTCTTAGCATCATTTAGAACCACTCTACTTTAACCTTGCTAAGAAAAGGTGCAGAGCACCTCAGAGGGTCTTGCACTGAGTGAGGTGACTTCTGCTTTGGTCTGTACACCCTTCCCCATCAAGTAAACCACTTGTGAACGCGGCTGTTCCCTCAACCCGCTATTTCTGGCTCTAAAAGAGCCCTGCACGTTGCCTCCTACCACCCAACCTCTGCCAGAATCAATTCATTTCCAAAAGAGGTGGCAAAATACTTCTACAATAATTGTTATAAGACAAATTCCACTCTTCTCCATCCAGCCACTAAGACTTGATGGTGCAACTCAACAATTCATTGCAATTGCAAGACCATGGCCCAGAGACAAAGCCTGGCTTTGGTCCAGTTGTAAAAGGTGATCTAGTGTGAACCTTAACTTCCATTCAAAGAACAGTTGTGTTAAGGAGAACTCCATAAGGCTTACTGTGGTCCAGCTGTACTTTCTCATCATTGGTTTGACTTCATTGTTTTCCAGAAATTACCTTAACCGATGGTAACTGCAACAAGGAAAAGCATCCTGTATGAAAAAAAGGAGCTGCTTTGGCATTGACTCCAAATTTGGCAGATAAGAAATGTCTCCTGAAGCTTCTGTTTAGAGGATACTATTATGGAATGGGCTTTCCCATTTCTGACCAGTTAACAATTTCATAGACTTCAAGTAACAGTTTGATGTACCAAACACATAGTATACTGATAGGGGTGCTACCTGCACGTATCTGTTCTATGTATGCTCCAAATATGCTACCCCAGGGTGTATATCATATGCAATATGAATATGTGGTGATAACATTTTCCATTATACTCCTCTCCTGCTGAATACCCGGCTGAAATTCTTGATCTAAAGAACCATTTGGTTCCCTTGTGACTTGGGCAGTTTTATCAAAAGCCCCATGTCAGCTTCCCATAGAAATGTTTTGTCCCAGCCAGGAAATTACTGTTGTTCCCATGGCCTCCCATATTTTTGGGTGAAGAAAGGCTCTGAAAAGTTTTGCCGAGAGCTGTGGGCTTAGTTCTTTGAACGGTTTAGGTAATGCTGTAGTTAGCTCTGGCACCTAGGTTTTCTAAACAGGATGAAGACTTTTAGAGTCCTCCTGAGCTGTCTGAAGTTACTGCTCCCTAATCATATGTTGGAAATGAGCAAGTAAAGTCACGGTTTAGAACCCAACTCTTGCGCAGATGCAAATATTGCCTGGTCATCCTGGTAAAGTCAGACAGAGCTGGGACCTGATTGAGCAGAGGCCTCAACTACCAACTTGTGGGCAGATCTCAGCACCTCTTGTAACAAAAGAACCCCTTTTCAGAGGCCTTGGGAATCAGCTTTCTGGGGGCAACCATTGAAGGAAGGTGGTATGTCTTTCCCTTTTATGTTTGGGTTGAACTACCTCCCTACCCACCTGGAGACAAGGGGTGTTTATTAGAAAGCAAAATTATGAGGCTAAACTGGCTTGGGACCCCCTTGTTCCTGGTACTTTCTCCAGAATTCTGAAAAGCACTTGTAAAGGACAGAGGGCTAGCAGGAAGATGGCCGGCGAGAAAGAAAATTCCTTTTTCAGTTAAGGTCCTCCATTTTCACAACATTTTACAGAAAGGCAAGGGCTGCATTCTTCCATACTGCCTTCCACTGAGCACCAAGGACAAACAGGGCATGTGTACTGGCTACATCAGTCATTTGATGCCTGTAGCAGTGAGAGAACACAGTGACAAGCCTGGCAAGGGAAAGTGGTAAGAACAAGGGAAGAGAAAAGGAGAGAAGAGGCTCCTGGAGAGAGGGAAGGAGGATAAAAAAATCTGCTCTATTAAGCCATTTCAAGACCTCAATCTGTAGGTGAAACTTTCTTGGGGAAGCCATTTAGTGCTCTCATTTCACAGCCCGGGGAAGATCGATCCCCTTTGACCAGAGTCCTGCTCTAAACTCTGGGATTGATGTATCAGGCTCACTATAAATTTGCAGACCATGCACACCATTCTGACAAGTGCCATGTATGTGACTCATCAGACAGTGCCACCATAACTGCCAATTGTGGGAAATAATCAATGCCTGGGTTACTCCAGAATGGGCCAAAATAACCCTTTAGTGGGTTCTAAATCTCTTCTCCCTAACCTGCAGTAAAACTTTTCCACCTTCTTGAGGACACACTTCTCTTGAGAAGGAACAGGGAGGATTCTGTAACCCAGCCTTTGATACTTCTTGGACATGTTTCAGTCTTTCCCAGCCCCTGCTGCCTATGGTCCTTGCATCCAGGAGGAGTTGGGCAAGCTTGGGCTTTGGGCTATCCAGTCAATGTTGTGGCCAAGAGCAAGTTAAGAAATAAGAAATAGGGACTGTGTGTTACAATCTTGGAGAGGTAAGCAGAAGTGACAGAAAGCAAGGGAAGAGACGCCTTTTGCTTTAGAAATAGGAGGCCTCAGAGTAAGGAGGGCTAGTGGGTAGCACCTTAGGATCGTGGAGGAGGCAGGAAAACAGGGCAAAATGGGGGGATAAGCGTATGTTTGTTTTCTACTCCCTTTCAAGGGTTAACTTAGGCCCTAGCAGGTGAAGGAGAAGAGTTGCATTATAGTACACACTTCCAAGATGAGTTGATTTCCATACAACAGGTACAGTCCTTGCCTCTCCTTTCAGCTCTTCCACAGCCTCCTGACGGGGACCCTGGAATTAAGTGTTCACTTCCTCCTCCAAGCTAAGCAACCGAGGGTAGGATTGTAACACATAGTCACATTGAATAGCCTGTTTCTGGCAAGCTCCTGGGTGCCAGGTCCTTACAAAGACAAAGGCAAGGCAGCCCCACAAGGAGCAAGACACAGACATCGTGGAAGAGCCACTGCTGTGGGGTTTCAGTCTTGCTCTGTGTCTTAGGCTACTAGATGCTGATTTCGTCCTTTGAGGGAGGGATAGGAAGAGCGCAGATTTATTTCCTCTCCATCTTCAGAACTTATTTTAGCACCCAGCCATACCCCAGGGAGAGACGTGATGTGACGTCACTGGCTCGGCTGAATCAGATGAGCCCCTGTCTAGCAGAGATGCGCTGGTGTCCAGGCATCCAATCCACACTAGTCCAGGCCATCTGAATTTTAAAAAAGAAACAGCTCATGAGACATATATGCAACTTCTCTTCCTCTTGTGACTCCTCTCTAGTTTCTCCGTGTGTGCGTGTGTGTGTGTGTGTGTGTGTGTGTGTGTGTGTTTGTGTGTGTCACTGCAATGTGTCCGGGGACAAAGCCATAAGAAAAGCATACATACTTAAGACTGCTGTACATAGAAGACAAGAAGACGACTCGTCTGGGTTGAAGCGCGATCCTTATGCCCAAGCATTTGATTTGCTCTGGTGCTGAATAATGTGAACTACTGAAATCAGCCTCTCTTCTGGTACACCCCGCCCCCCGCTCTCAAATGGAACACAGCATTCCTGACTCGTTTATAAATAAAGGGATGCAGAATTGCACTTTTGTTTGTTGTGCTTCTCTAAGTGTGCTGTTGTGTGTTTCTGTTTAAGAGCTCTAGCTCAGTGTGAAAAATGCAGGCACTGGAGCAGCTCTCCTGCGGCTGGCTCTGCCCAGCTGTGGCCCCAGTGCTCCCAAGGATTTGCCTCGGCACTGTGTGGAAAAGGGCTATGTCCTGAAGTTGACAAATGACCCACATCTTGATTTAATGGAGGGGTGTGTGGGCATAGTTCAGTGGTAGAGCACTTGCCTAGCATGAGAGAGAGGGAGAGTGAGACACAGACAGAGACAGAGAGACAAAAAGAGAGACAGAGATGCTGGGTTTGATCTCCAGCATCATTCAAAGAAAAGAGAGAAACAGATCCACCTGGATGGGCCATCACATGCTGAACCCAGTCAGGAATCTGAAGTGTAGGTCCCACCACTTGCTTTGTGACCTTGGCTAGGGCACTTTCTTTCTATGGCCTCAATACCTGCTTTTGTAAAAATGAGTGGGTTGGAGGAAACGGTTTTTGAGGTCTGCTTCTCCCAGCTACCGTGCTGTCACAGAGTGACCAGGGGAATGTGCTTACTTCTCACTGAGTGGGAAGCTGAGAGGGAGTTGTCCGCCAGTCCCCCAGGGCTTGCCACTTACAGAATGCTTTTCAAGTGCACCTGGACTTTGGGAAGTGTGCATTTCAACCACTTTTTCCTCTTGGGGAGAAAGCTCCTTTCATCAGCTGGAGGTAGAGGTTCTAAATCAGGATTGCAAATGGCAATGCAGAAGGCAGACGTTATGTTCTCAGAATTGTGTCCACACCCTCCCCTCACCAAATTTAGGAGGCTTCCATCCATGCGGAGAGGTTTAGCTCTTTGAAATGACTACAATTGTAACATTAGTATGGGCTCTAGAGTAAAGGAAGCCATGGATATAATCAGTAATGGGATAAATTTTGAAACAGAGCACCTATTATTTGCATTATTTGGCTTTGCCATGTAAAGCAAACACATTCTTGACAAGTTATACTGAACACAACAGTTACTGGTTTCTTCTTGACTTCTGTGATACTGTGAACACATTCCCAAGGGAAAAACAGTAAGGTCTAAGGTGTAGTAAAACTCATATTTGAGGACCTTGATATCTGACCCAGAGAGAATTAGCCTTTGTTAATAAACTGAACTCCTGGGGGAAGAGGGATCCTATCAAATATGTTCCCTCCACCCCACACAATCCTCTTGTGTTGGAGTTCTCATTGGCTATTGGAGTTGAATGTTTAAGAGACTTCTCCAAGTATTCAGCAGGAGCTATTAGATAAGAAGACTCCTGCTGGGCAGGCATGATGGCATACACATCTGTAGTCCCTGCTACTCAGGAGGATGAGACAAGAGGCCAACCTGTGCAACTCAGTGAAACCCTGTCTCAAAGAAAATGATATAAAAAGGCTGGGGATTTAGCTTAGTGCTCCCTGGGCTCAATCCCTAGTACCACAAAACAAAAACAAACACAAAACCACCCAAGACTCCCATAGAGATTCTTTTTAAGACAGTGTGATAATTTATACATATCCAAATATATCCGGTGATCAAATCCTTTAAGAAACCACCAAACAAAAACAATAAATAACCAATAAAATCTGAAAACATTATTAAAAGTACAAATATCTGTTGATGCCAATTAAGGCATGCTAGGTCTTTCTGAACTGCCATAACTTACATTCTAGAAAGGACGCTGTTAGCAAATTTCAGCTGCAGTTGACCAAATGTGGGAAACTTGAGGAATGTTCAGTTATGTTGACTTGTACTACAAAGTCACTCAAATCAGAGTGTTGATAAAGAGAATAGATAAGACTAAAATATTTGCTATATAACCTTTCATTTAAAAAATGAATGAATCCATAAAGTGTATGGAGTACTTTACCCTTTCCACAGGAAGATTTCCAAATTACTATACTTGCAAATAACCCTGTTACCCTAAAATTTCCAAGGCTAAAGAAAGCCTGTTATTATCTGCCATGTATGTGGCAGGTCATGACTCATGACACAGTTTGAGAAGGTAACTAGTCTTTCTTGTTTGGTAGTCATTTTCCACTGGACAGATGTTGGCAAGATGCCATTATTAGCCTAATCACAAATCCACATTAGCACAACTGAGTCATTGATTCCTTTTCCATTTGTTTTTATATTTGGCACCCACAGATGAAGGGATGAATGGGTAGAAGAAGGTGAAGATGCATATGTTTCCTATTGCTGTAACAAATTGTGAAAACTTTAGTCACTTAAGACACCACAACTTTATTACTTTACAGTCCTGGAGGTCAGAAGTCTACAATGGGTCTTAATGGGCTACAATTAAGCAGGTGACAGCAATTCCTGTCTGGTGGCTCTAGGGTTGGGGGGACTTTATGATCTTCCTTTACTTTGGCTCATAGCCCCCTAAGATCTTCAAATCCAGCGAAGGTCAGGCCAGTCTTTCTTTTTATTGAGTTTATTGGTACAATCTAGGTATACAATAGTTACATTCATTATTGGGATCTTGTACCTTTACATGACAGGTCTTGGTTCTCATTTTTTCCCCTTGTCCCTGCCCTCCCTTCACCCCCTCCTCCCCTCCCCATTT